GCATACGCTGACAAACTTTTAGCTTTTATAAAATGACGTAGGTCTGGCGTTCACTAGCTCTTAGTCTATTAGTATACACGGAGCGTCGCCAGTATCGTATTACTTAATAAAAAATTACCGAGTTTATAACAGGAGGTATGCTTTTGTTTATAAATAGTGTTGTAATGCACATGGGCGAAACGTGTATGGAAAATTAAAACAGTATAGAAAGGTAAAGTGACATCACTTCGCGCAGTGAAACGGTTATATTATTATGTATATGAACACTGTGACTTCTTATGTAGGTATTTGTAACACTTACCTATACGATTTTGCAAGAAAATGTGAACACTCCCGAAAGAATGAGTGCAGTCAAAGAAAGTATGAAGAGCTTAATAAGGGCTGTTAAGAAAAAGATAACTAAAGCTTAAAATAATTTAATTTTCAGTCCTCTTTCATTCCATAATCGAATCTAGCGCCTGTATTCACAAACATTACTATGAGGTCTCACAGTGCGCGTGGACGCACAGGGTGACACACGAACCAATCACAGAGCTCTATTCAACGCTGTGCGTTCATTTTGATGCTTCACTAAAGCAAGCATGGTTTGTGAATACGGGCGTTAGTGTCAATTTGACATCTTTTGCCTATTATTTTATTATTTATTATTAATAAAAACTAATTTCTTAAAAAAAAAACACAAAACACTAGATGAATGACAACTACGAGTAGTTTATGCCCTGACAGTATGAATTATTTACTACCTATGATTTTACTTCAAGTTGGCGTCTCTCGCACAGCCCAGTAGGAAGTCTGCTGACAATAATCTACATTGTGATAGAATAAAATTAATTTGCTGAAACATGCATTCTTTATCAATCGAGATGTTATCGATTTTTTATCAAGATTAACTTTGTTTATAGATTAAACACTGAGCAGGTAATTTGAATGAAGTTTTGCATGGTCTAAATTATAAGTAAGAAAAAGTTACAGTTTTTGTAATTTTGCTTTGTATAATAATTTTTAATTGAAAGAGAATTTAAATTAATATATTTATGAATAACTGTTACATATTAATAGAGCCTTACATTTTTAATTTTTTTAATCCAAAGAGAAAATGAATTAGATATGAGTAGGCAGAAAATATACTCGTACTCGTAGTGTTGCCATTTAATAAGAATTTACAAAATTATGGGTGGGTTGCACCATCTTACTTTAACTTTGACAAACGTCAAAAATCTGTCAAACTCCATACAAAAAGCACCGGTTATCGTCATAGTGTACTCAGCCTATGTGTATTAACCTGGAATAAACGTCAAAAATCTGTCAAACTCCATACAAAAAACACCGGTTATCGTTAAAGTTACTGTTTTTAGGCACCATCTTATTTTAACCGTAACATTTACAATAACCGGTGCTTTTGATAGATTTTTTCGTTTGTTAAAGTTAAAGTAAGATGGTGAAAACCAGCTTAAATAATTTTTACCTTCTCTATCTTTTAATTTACCCGATAAATGCTCTATTTTAAATGATTCCGTGTCTGTTATTTTGTGCCCTATAAAGTAACATGGTGTTAAGTACGAAATAAGTAGATACCATCATTGCAGTCAACAGCACCTCAGACTATATACATTTTCGTTGCAAAATAGAAATTATTCCAACTACATAAGGTTTCATGGTGTTTAGGTTAACGTGCCGTCTTTACATAGTACATTATTCGTTATCTCTGTGTAGAAACGACTGCTTACAAGATAATAACGTGACTCCAACAAGTTAATTCAAAATAAGTCAATTTCGATCTGATATCTATGGCGGGTGTGCACGGCTCTTTAATTTTTTGCTCGAGCTTAGGCACTTATTAAAAAGTCACGTGAACCGCAAATGAGCTCCTTTTAAGTTATTTAAGTGTCTCACGTAATCAGTTTCATAATGAAGTCATTTTATTAAGTCAAATAAATTATTGGATCATTTTTCTTTTGCAGAATTTGAAGAAAACTTTTTTTTAAAGAAATCTTATTTTTTATTTAATCTAAACTGATCAAATTTTTAAATAAAAGTAGGTAATCCAATTAAAAGGAAGACGAAGTCTGATTTATATTGCATAATGCAAACTCTACATACTTAAAAAAGAGATTGTTTTCTATATAGACTCTATTGTAATACGATTTCAAATATTGTTCAGCATAAAAGGGTCACTGAGAGAGACAAATAATGTACAAGATCCAAATGCATGATCAAAAAGGTTGTGAAAACTATTCTGCATTATGCGTGTTATAACCAACGTGGTGCCCTTAAGTATTATAAATAATTTAAAAGGTAATTGATAAATAATTTACGAGGGAGCCTGACAACAAATTACCAAAGGCCAAATTGTGTTTTTGGAACTCGAGCGTCCTAAATTATATTCAATTAGAAGCGTTATGCATTTTAATTTGCGATCGGAATACACTTATTGGTAAGTCGTTTGAAGGGCGAGGCAGGAATCGAGTTTTATAAATTAGATTTTAATAAATTAATGTAATAACTAAGGAAATCAGGATGTAAATGTAATTGTGATTTAGTATTTACATTTCCTATAAACGTGTTGAGGTAATAATTGAACTGGCCGGTGTAACCTATTTACAAATGTTATTACATTTCATGGTTAATGTATTATTGTCTACCATAGACACCATAAGCCATGTATTCATTAGGCAACATTTGTTGATAAACACTGTTTATAAACAGTTTATAAACAGTCCATGTCGCCGTGCTCCCCGCGCTATGAGTGCCGAGTGGAGGAGAGCAAGTGTGGACGGCCAAGTTTCAGAAACCTGTGTTTATGGTAAACTGTTTCACACTAGTCATAAACAGTTTATCAACAAATGTTGCCTAATGAATACATGACTTTATTCAAATAATCAATGTTGAAAAGGCTTAAAAATACTTAGGATGATTGCACTATCTATAACTTTTACCGTAAATATAATGATAGCCGGTGTATTTTGTATGGACTTTGATAGATTTTTGACGTTTGTTAAAGTCAAAGTTAATTTGACGTCACAAGGATCTGTTTTAATTGCTTTGACTTTATATTGTTAACAAAGAATGGTTATACCTACTATATTGTGGAAAAGAAATTTATCAGTAAGCATTCCAAAAGACCTCACTTACAGAATCTTTAAAATAAGCTTTCGCCAAAATGTTATTCATGATGACCTGTCCCTGCACGGACACAAGAATAGGTAGGTATTACAAAAGATATAGACTCGAATTTTGCAGTACTCATTAGGTTTTTTAAATATCGTCAGTGATGTTCTAACAGTGTGTAAATCATAAATGTGAATTTTACAGGAGATTGCTTGAAAAAAAGCACGCGGTCCTACTTCATCCAATGGCATCAAAATTTTAAAACAGTCAAAAAATTACTTGCACACTATTAGAACTTCACTTTCGATATACCAATCATAAATTTAAATCATCCCTTCTTATATTCTTATTGAATAATATATTTTAATGCAGTGTTTAAAAAACACACGTACTATGATAAGCCACATTAACCCTTTGTGTTCCGAGCTTCCGAGACAACACAGTTAACACGGTCTCGGTCTAATTTGCCCCCGGAAGGCTCTTGTTAGGGGTGCCTTACGTCACTCCGACAAAGGAGGGTTGATAATCGTTTCTAACCAAACTGTATTTACCTGCGGGTTTGTTAATGTAAGGATCAAGAACGAAAACCGTTTTAACAAAAAATATGCACAACCCTTTGTATTTATGACCGCAACTAATTTTGTTATTAGTTGTGTCATTTCATTGTCCAAATTGATATTTGTTTCTACCACGGGTGAATTGGAACCCTAAAAGTTGTGTCCTAAAATCGTGTTAGGTAATTATTTTGATAGTAACGAAGGTCGCAATGTGATTGATGTCTTTTTAGGGTTCCGTAGTCTTGACAAGGAACCCTTATTATTACAAGCTTTTTTCAAATCTGATTTGTCTATGTCGTCTATATATGTATTAATACCCTATTAATACTTTTAATTTATTATTACAATTATTATTACAAGCTTTTTTCAAATCTGATTTGTCTATGTCGTCTATATATGTATTAATACCCTATTAATACTAATATTTTTCATTATTAATAGCTGTGGATAAAATAATGAATTTCCTAATGTGATGAAAAACCGTTCGAAAAGGCTCAATATTTTTTTAGGTTGTTAATATAATTAATTTGTTTGTATTGTTGCTATGGTAAAAAAATAACACGTATTTAAATATAAAAAAATAGTAATAATAATGTAGAGCAATATTAAAACTGTTGTTTATTTTAATACAGTATACCGTTTACCTACATTAATTGAAATCTTTTATGGTTATTTTTGTGAGTATCCATAAAAAATATTAGATAAACATGACTTTTCTATGGAATTAATAGGCACATCAACAACAATTAAATGTCGTAGGTACAAATAACAAAGTATATTAAGATCCAACACAATCAATGGTGCCCATAAACCAGAAATAAAATTTTATTGCCACTATGGTGTCATGAAAGCACATGAGGCAAATTATTTTAATTGCTGGCAACATTGTGTATTGTACTATGGCAAGCCATAAAAGTGCATTAAAATCAATGTAACTAATTGATGTTATGGTTTCATCCTTGAATTTAATGTTGTATGCAACTATAATAATAGTTATAGTTAATAATAATATTTATTTCGTGCGATAAGATACATTAGATTTCAAAAGAGTTTCAAAATCAAGTGCAGTTAAAATCTAATTACCATTATATTTTTTACCCGATAAATAAAAAAACTGAAATAATATGAGCCGGGTATGAGCCAGCATATAGGGCATATAATTGCAATTTTAAGTTGGCCTATTGTTAACTCCTCTGTTAAATCTATAATACTGACTTAGAATACTGAATTCAAAGTGCCGTAGTTCACTAATATTGTCCCATTCAGTTAATCATTGTTTTATAATGCACCCGTTCATAATTTTGTTTACAGATAAATATTTTCTTCAACACTCACCATCGTTCGCATTCGCGGAGCCGTCGGCCGACCTCTCAGAGTCCCCTCCTCCCACCAGGTTTCTGATGCTGAACGAGCTCGTCTTCCTCGGCGCCTCCGTGGCCCCCGTGACGTCACACGGCCCCTCCGTTCCGTTCACTAGTTCCCGACACACCTGTTCCCCATTCAGTATAGTCTCTCCCGGAACAGCTGTTCCTTCCAGTATGTCCCGCCGAGTAGTCAAGTCCATCTTCAATTTTTACCTTGGCAACACTGTATTTCAAATTCGGAACGAACTCCTTTGCTTCGAACATTTTAGATCCTTATTCGGAATTGGAACTCATTTTTTTTCTAATCACTTCAAGTTTTTTACAGTTGCGTCCGAAGGAGTTTGTTTACATTTTTTTTTTCACTGGCCGGTCACATTCCTCACTGGTAATATTGTAAATAATATGTCATTGCAAAAATTGTAATTGACTTGCTTTTCGCGAATGCGCGTCGATCGTGGCAGAACGCGCGCCGAGTCCGCGATGGCGAGAGCGACTGGTCCTCTCGCCTCCTCCGGCGCGGCGCTCGGGCCCTCCCTACGCCTCCGGGGCGGGGCTTCCACGCCCGCGCACAATTACTGACAATCCCGCGACTTTTAGTTTTTACTCGATTGCAACTCGCGCAACTTTTTTTCGCGCGATCGATTTGTTTTAATGAGACGTAATTGCGCTTATTGATACGAGATGCACTACTGTCAGCGTTGCTTAGTCTATCCGAGAACGGTCCCGATAATGACAGCAATTTTCACAATTACACTGGTGTCACTAAAATAAAACGCGTATTTTTTAACGCCCCGCATTTCCTATGGTCGTTAATCCGACTGGTTTTCTGTTGAATGCGAATTTTTAGATATCCATAAACGGTTATTAGTTTGCTTTGCATTTACATGTTGAGTAGTTTGTATTTATTTATGTGGTAGTGGAGTTTATGCCGCAGCGAGCTGTCGTTCTTTAGAACGGCGAATATGAGAATGGATGGTAATTATTCGGAATGCATTTATCACGTTTTGCCATATAAATTGAGATAACATGGCGTCGCGCTGTTTATCAAATTGGTGCTGACTGTACTCTACTTAGTTGACTAGGGTTGTTTAACTCTAGTCTTGTTTTTAGTTATATTATTCACAAATAAATATCACCTCAAGCTAGACAGAAAATCTGATAGAGCTTTGTGGCGTTTCTTGGGAGAGGTTTACGTCCCCAGTGGACTTGCCTTTGGCTGAAATGATGATGATGATGAACAATAAATCGCGATCTTCTAACCATCATCCACATCCACTGATACGTAATGCCTGCCCACTATACAACTATTTTAAATCAATGAAGAATGTTCACTAATTTTGTTTTTTAGCTTTCTGTACCTCTAGTACGAAAAACTTTCGAGTTCGTTTCGTTGCGTATTCAAAGTGTCATCGAAAAATTTTGTATGAAAAATTAAACAGCGCCCCCTATATTATAGCCGCCCTAGGGGGCGCTGTTTAATTTTTCATACAAAATTTTTCGATGACACTTTGAATACGCAAACGAAACGAACTCGAAAGTTTTTCGTACTAGAGGTACTGTATTCTCTGTTAAAAATAAAAAATACACGTGAAAGAATTATTTCGATACGTTAATTAGTTTCCAAGATATTGAATTTTAAAAGTGCGGGCGGCGGCCAGCCCGCCATTTTATGCGCGTGACGTCATATTACAGTGACTGGCTCATATTTGTATGGGTGGAATCTTGCAAGCTGAATTAAGACCCACTTCCAGGCAACCGATTAAGCTGAAATTTCGCAAACACATGTGATTTGGATGACCATGCAATATTATGATGACATGGAGCTGATCTGATGATGGAGCTGGAAGGTGGCCATAGGAACTCTATAATAAAATGACTTAAATCCATCGAGTTTGGGCTCGTTCGTTTTGTATTGATGAGTACTTTAATTCTATATAGTAATCAGGGTCTAATGATGGAGCTGGAAGGTAATTCGCAATAAAACGACACAATCGCATCAAGTTTGGGTTTGGTTCAATTTTAATTTCTGTGATGGGTCTGGGTGTTAATATGTATAATAAGTTTGTATTTACAAAAAAAAAATATTTAAGTATGTTTATATCCGTTTTCTAGTGAGCGGACACTGTGAATGTACGTCACGCGGGGTCACGTGACCGTCGGCGGGACTTAATATTTAAGCGAACTTTGAATGCCTATAAAATCATAACTACTGGGTATTTTTGAATGAAATAAAAACTAATGTATTTGTAAATGTAAAAGCTTAACTGTAACATATGTTTCAAGTGATTTTGCATACCTAGTAACATTCTCAATTAAGGGAATAGCTAGAATAGATTTTGATAGGGTTTTCAGGCCCATAACTAAAGTGGAATTTAATTAAAATAAAAAATGAAACTACATATCTAAATCTACGCTTGAATTTGAATTGATTCATGGTCGTCTCGTTACGTTGTTCAGAATACTGTTTTTAGACCATAATAGAGTATCCATAGGTAAATGATTTCCAATACAATCTTAGCCATCTTAGCCATGAATCAGTTTCTCTATCCCTGAAAAAGAACTGAATGCAGTACGAGTATATCATCTTTTTATCAGGAAAACACTGTCAATGAGACAACCCTAAATAAAGTGCTGTGCATTTTCTTTGGTAGCCGATTCTATAACTGTCGGACTGGTTGTAAATTCTTGTTAGGCACCAATTCTGGTACTCGCCTTCGGGTCTCTATAAATTTATGGTTTTTATCCTGTGACTATTTATCTACTAGCGCCCGCCCGCGACTTCGTACGCTTGGACCCCGTTTTACCCCCTTTGGAGTTGAATTTCGCAAAATCCCGTCTTAGTGAGCACCTACGTTCTAAAAGGAACTCCCATGCAAAATTTGAGACTCCTAGCACATGTAGTTTCTGAGATTTAGTGATGAATGAGTGAGTCAGTGACCTTTCGCTTTTATAGATATAGAAGATGCTGAGGTAGTTTATTTTCTCTAAGATCTTTTTGTTTCCATATTTTCCCAAGTCAAGTATTTGCGTAGTTTATAAGAATTAATGTTATTTCACGATGCTATCCGGTTTAATGCATGATGTAATTCAATAAAGAGTTTTTTTCTCAGTAAAAACATTGGTAGAGTCACACGCTTAAGAATAGCTAATCAATTCTTAATGCATTGTAATTTATATTTATTAAATTATAATATACGACTTTGTATTTTATACGTCTCCACAGCTTTTGTTGTCTGTCTGGCTTCCTAGGAAACTTTATCATCGCAGAATTAATTGGAATACAATATGTACAGTAGTGGGGAGTAAATATCATTTCAAGGTAGGCTGTATTTACATATTCCTAATAATTTTCAATTATACCATTTTTCAGGTAGACACTGCGTAACATCCTAAGCTTTAATTGTAGGTAAAAAAAAGTTTCATTATGAACAAACCTAGTCTCAAAAAGATGCAGTGGGTGGAAGTAAAAGCGAGAGGTAGAGCTTTCTAGCGTCTTATTGTAGCTTGAAGCCTAGCAGTAAAATTAAAATCTACGTTCTCAGATAGATATGGTCTATACAAAAACTGACAATATTTCGGCTATACATATAATTACCGTTTGGAGTCTGCCTTAGTTACATGAGAGTGATTAGTTGACTCACCAAAATACGATATCTCTTAAATCCTGTCTTATTTCCTCAAAATTATCGCTTCTTTAAAATATAATAAACATTAATTAGTTATTTCATAAACATGTCCAAAATGAATACATATTCTGTCACGATCTTATCGCCATTAGCACCTATAACTAATAAACTATAACTGAAAGCATTTATTGCCGTATCAATGTCCGTAACTGTTCATCGGTGAGCCAAGCAAATTAACAAAGCTATTAAATATCTATTAGAAAGTTTCAGCGATGCTCAATGTTGACATTTCTAGGTTGGCACAGCTAACAATCATACCAACGCAGTCTAATTACCGACCAATGGGTGCGTTTGCCGGAAAAAAGCGCTTGGAAGCGCTTGTAAGCAAAATGCCGATCGCTACGGCAGTTTTCGGCGAGGACATGTTTGCTAACTTTAATTCAATTCAATTCAATTCAAATCTTTATTGCGTACTAAGTGACAATTATTGTAATGGTGGAAATTACATACACATGGGCTTAAGACTTAGTGACCTAGGAGGTATTGCAACAGAGTAGGTGGCTATATACATTATACATAATATGAGATGTAACATAATTGCATACTTCGATGCTAAAAAATAACAAAACAAGCAGATTACAAATTAAAGTATCTAGAGACATTTTCGGTGGTCAGTTGTTAGATATATTCGTTAATTGAGTAGAAACATTTAGATATTAATTATTGTCTCAGAGCTTTAGAAAAGCGTTTAATGTTAGTTTCGGTTTTTATGTGTTCAGGAAGTTTGTTGTATAGTTTCACTGACATGTAGTAGGGGCTGGTATTTAACATTTTTATTCTTGATTGAGGTAAGTAAAGTTTATCCTTATGTCTGGTATTTCTATTATGCGTGTCCTTGATTTTTAGCAGTGACAAGCGCTTAGCGATCGCCATTTTGCTTACAAGCGCTTCCAAGCGCTTTTTCTGCCAAACGCCCCCAATGTTTGTAAAGCAATCATCCAAAATCGAGTGCCTATTACTTTTCAACTCTACGTTAGGCCAGCCGCCAAAAGCGAGCTGTCAAAATTCGCGCGGGAAAAGAATCCGTCAAAGTTTCCCGCTACAGACTATATTTGCTTGAGCAGAGACAATTGAGATACGCGAGAGTGTCTGTGGTCGTGCTAAGGCCGGTACACACAAAGAGTTTGAGCCAGCGGGGCGCCCGAGTCAATTATACAGCGGTCCCAAACTGATCCTATTTGTATGGTAATGCACTCATTACCAGAGACAAAAAGGGTGAAGGGCAGAAAACAGAATTTATAGTAAGCAGTTAAAAAGTGGAATGGGCAGGGGTTAATTGTTAAGTTTGGACGACGTTAACGTTCAGTGTTACGATTGTGGATTTGTTTTGAATAAGCATTAAACAACTGGGATGCTCATTAAGCAATCAATATTAAAGTAAACGATTAGGAAAGTAAAACACTTTTCAAAATTATGGCTTCCAAATTAAAAGGCAACATAAAAATAATTACCATTTCAATGTCATGAGAGAAAGGTAATAAGGATTAAGTAGAATAATATTAATAAGTTGTTACATCCCAGATGACATACTCATTTAAACCAGTAATCGTCAGTTTCTTGCTTTTCACTTTTTGTCATGAATAATTGAATGAAAGAAAGGTACATTTATTACAATGGACATCACACAAATACAGATAATTACATAACGGTGGCACATAATAATGGAAGAAAAACAAAAACAAGAGTAAACTGAGCAGTTCCACCTAGTCGCAAACAGGGTGCCCACTGCAACGGGACCCCACTGACGTGACGAAAGCCACGACGCTGGTTTTGGGCAAAGGACAGGTCATAAGTT